GGCACCTCTCTGCAGGGGGCGCATACCTTGAATGTGTCAGCAGGTAGGGGAGCCAATACTGTACCTCCCTCCATTCATGACACCCCCCCCCTCCCAATGTTGTGTGAGGGCGAGCTGCAGCTCACTGATGTCCAGCCAGATACCCTAGGGGGACAGGAGCTTGGACTTACAGTCGAGGACATTGACAACTATGAATCGACCCCAGATTCTCCTGATCCGGCCCAAGCTGCGGGGACTGCAGACGAGACTATGGACAGATCTCCTGATTTCAATAAGTTTGCCTCCCTCGTTAGCAGAATGATAAAGGCCCTGGATCTACCGGCCCCAAAGCCATCTGAACACGTGGAGGACCCGATGTTCCCCTCGGATGAGCAGAACATCGTGTCCCCCACTGCATTGCCTCCACTTCCTTACTTACTTAAATTGGCTAGGGTATCTGATGTAGCCCCCCCACTTGTGGCGGCTGTACCCAGGAGGGTAGATGCCCTGTATAAGATTGATTTGTCATCTGCCAAATGGGTCTCCAATCCTCCCAGACCAAATACGGTGGTGGCTGAGGTCGCCAAGGGCAAACGACAGAAGGGCGCTTTGACTACTCCCCCTGATAGAGAGGGTAGAAAGGTAGACGCACTGGGACGGAAGGCCCACCTTTCAGCGGGGTTATTTACAAGGATGTCCCATTTTGCCACTTACATGAGCGGCTATCAAAAATTCCTGTGGGAGCAAATCTTACCTTATTTGGACTCCTTGCCGCCAGATAACCAACGCTTCCCTAAAGCCTTGCAGGAGGAAGCCGTCGTATTGGCTCGCTTCCAAAAGGATTTCGCCAAGCACCTGGCCGAGGCAGCTGGCAATCTTTTTGCCATCGCCACCTCGATCAGACGGCATGCTTGGCTTAGGGCAGCCAACCTCTCTGAGGAGGGTAAAGCCCTTGCGGAAGACCTCCCGCTACATGCGGATGGGCTTTTCAATCCCGAAACAGACGAAAAGCTGAAAAGCAAACAAGAAGTTCGCCAAGCGGCGAGTAAGTTTGGCTACTCGTGGCAGCCAAGCCCCCAACCAAAACCCAGATGGCAACAACAACAGCAATCCTCTGGCTTCCGCAGGAATTTCTCTAACTCTTTCGGGGGCCCCTACAGGAACCGTAATTCGGGTTTTTCCAGGTTCCAATCTGGCCGGAGAGCTCCCTATGGAGCCAGATCCAAATTCCAGTCTTTTCAAAACAAGCCTAGGGGCCAGCCCGCATCCAAGAAGAGGGTTTGACACGGGAGTGGAGCCTGGGGCGACTCAGTCGGGGCCCGTTTGCTCCTTGGTCGCTCCATCGTCAGGTTCGCGGGTTGAGGCCACAAGGGCACTTTGCCCGGCCCCACCATTGTTCTATGAGAGGTTGGCCCCGTTTTACGATGTTTGGGCGCAAATTACTTCTGATAAATGGGTTCTTTCTATTGTTAAGAATGGTTATAGGATTGAGTTTGAGAACGTACCCCCTACTGGGGAACCTATTTCTACGCCTGTTTCTCTGCCCTTGTCAGAAGAAGTTCAAGCCTTGTTGGCCAAGGGGGCCATTTCTGCTGTCAACCCAGTTATGTTCCAATACTGTTTTTTCTCTCGATATTTTTTGGTGAATAAACGAAGTGGGGGTTTCCGAGCCATTATGGATCTCAGATCTCTTAATAAACATATTCCCCCAAAGAGATTTAGAATGGTCACTTTGTCTATGATTATGCCGCTGTTATTCCAGGGCGCTTGGTTCGCTACGGTTGACTTGAAAGATGCCTATTTTCATATTTCTATCGTACCGCATCACCGTAGATTTTTGGCGTTCATGATTGGTCATCAGGCCTACTGTTACAACGCCTTACCATTCGGCCTTTCGACAGCGCCCAGGGTTTTCACGAAATGCATGTCTGTGGTTGCGGCCCACCTCCGCACCAGGGGAGTGACGGTGTACCCCTATATTGATGACTGGCTGGTTGTCGCCAGCTCCCCTGAGCAACTAGAACATCATGTCTCTATTATTTTGTCTTTGCTCCAGTCCCTGGGTCTAGTCATCAACCCGGAGAAGTCCTCTCTCGTCCCTGCCAGACGGATTCAGTTCATCGGAGCGCTGCTGGACTCTGTCTCTCAGAGGGCCTACCTTCCTCCGGACCGTTTCAGCAAATTGCAGGAGCTGGTCAGACATGCTGTCACTGCCCCAAAAATAACCGCGAGGCAGATTCAGGTCTTATTGGGGCACATGGCCTCAACCACGGCTGTCACTCCCTACGCCCGGCTGAAAATGCGGTCCCTCCAGTTTTGGTTTCTCTCAGTGTTCAATCCCCTTGGGGACCACCCGTCCACCACACTTTCCATCCCAGCCAATGTCAAACTTTCCCTTGCGGAGTGGTTGGACGAGCGTTGGGTATGCCAGGGCCTCCCTTTCCAGCCTCCATCTCCTGTCAGGTCTATGACTACAGACTCGTCCCTGTCGGGTTGGGGGGCTCACTCTCAAGGTTTGATCGCACAAGGGGTGTGGTCCGCAAACGAGGCAGGCATGCACATAAACGTACTCGAACTGCTCGCGGTGGACAGGGGTCTAAGGTCCTTCGAGAGAGTGCTGTCAGGGAAGGTCATCCAAGTACTCACCGACAACACCACGGTGATGTACTATCTGAACAAGCAAGGGGGCACTCATTCGGGTCCCTTGTTAGACCTGTGTCTAGAGATATGGAATTGGTGCATCACCAGGGGGATACACCTCGTGGTCACTCACCTTCCGGGGGTGGACAACGGTCTTGCGGACGTGCTGAGCAGGAGTCCCATGGCCCACCACGAGTGGGTCCTGAACGAGGAAGTGTCGTCCGACCTGTTCAGGCTTTGGGGCGCACCGGAAGTGGACCTATTTGCAACGCCTCAGAACACCAAGTGTCGGCTGTTTTGCGCCCGTTGCCATCCAATGCCACAAATAGGCTGCCTGGGAGACGCGTTCCTCCATCATTGGGGGGGCAGGCTACTTTATGCTTTTCCCCCCTTCCCTCTGTTACTCAGAGTGGTGGCGAAAATCAGGAGGGACAACGCTCACTGCGTCCTAGTGACCCCTTGGTGGCCCCGTCAACCCTGGTTTGCCCCCCTTCTCCAGTTATCACAGAGCAATTTTCTTCGGCTTCGTCACAGATCAGATCTGTTGACGTCTCAAGGGGGTCAGGTGCTGTATCCCGGGGTGCAGCAGCTTGGGTTGACAGCATGGCTCGTGATGCCGAACCATTGACTACTTTTGCTGAACTATCTGGCCCGGTCCGCTCTATTATTGAGGCGGCGCATAGACCTTCGACAAAAAGATCATATCTATACAAGTGGGCTAAGTTTAAGACCTTTGTGGCGCAAAGGGGTGTCACGCCTGAGAAAGCATCTATCTCATTAATACTTGATTTTTTGGTTTCGTTGTTAGATGCGGGCCTTTCGGGCTCGTCTTTAAAATGTTACTTGGCCGCCATCTCTTGGTTTCGGCGGAAAGCGGGCCTTCCATCGTGTTTTGGGGATCCAATGGTTAAAATTTTTCTACGGGGTATTGCTAATACTAGACCCTATGTATCCCCTGTTTCCCCTTCCTGGAGTTTGGAATTGGTGTTAACAGTTTTGATGAGGCCTCCTTTTGAACCACTAGCGACGATAGATTTATCTTATCTATCTTGGAAAGTGGCCTTTTTAGTGGCCATAACGTCGGCTAGGAGGGCCAGTGAATTGTGCGCTTTACGGGTTGATCCTCCTTATCTTAGATTTCACAAGGATAAGGTTGTATTGCGCACAGACATTGCTTTTCTCCCCAAAGTTTCCACAACTTTTCATATGTCTCAGGAGATTGTTCTTCCCTCCTTTTTTCAGAAGCCTACGACGTCTCTGGAAAAGGGTTGGCATTGCTTAGATGTTCGTAGGGCTTTGGCGTTTTATGTAGAAAGGACATCTGGAATTAGGAAAACGCCAAGGTTATTTATTAAGTATCGTAAGGATACAAGGGGGTTGCCAGTGTCCTCCCAGCGTTTTTCCTCCTGGGTGGTTTCCGTAATTCGGTTGTGCTACAAACTGTCTGGAAAAGACTTACCTCCACAGGTGAAGGGTCACTCAACCCGAGCGGTGTCAACATCTGTTGCTTTTATGAGAGGTGTGCCTTTGGACGCCATTTGCAGAGCTGCCATCTGGACGACGCCACTTTCCTTCGTGTCGCATTATAAGATGGATGTCGTGTCCAAGAGAGCAGCTGAGTTTGGGAGATCGGTTCTGTTTTCAGCGGTGGCATGACGCCCGCCGTCCACGGTTAGTAGCTTGCTAGTCTACCATGTGTGCAATTCATAGTTGACTACGACAGGAAATTATAAGTTGCTTACCTGTAACTGTAGTTTCCTGAGTAGTCACCTATGAATTTGCACAACCCGCCCTTCCTCCCCTCGAGTGTCATGCCCCCGTCTTCTGCTGTTAGGCGGAAGAGAACTGAGGGGGCCTGGCCCCGCGTGGGCTATATATACTCGAGAGGGGAGGGGGGAGGGGGGGCGGGGCCAGGCAGTGTCATAAATGTCATTTTTTCTATTCTAGAAGGTTCCGAAGTTGAACTGCGCAGGCGCAGGAATACCATGTGTGCAAATTCGTAGGTGACTACTCAGGAAACTACAGTTACAGGTAAGCAACTTATAACTCACCTGGGAGAGAGCTCACCTGAGATAGAGCTCAATTGAAGGAGCTTACCTGGGGCAGAGCTGACCTGAGATAGAGCTCAATTGAAGGAGCTTACCTGGGGCAGAGCTCATTTGAGATAGAGCTCAATTGAAGGAGCTCACCTGAGTCAGAGCTCACCTGGAATAGAACTCAATTGACAGCTCACCTGGGACAGAGCTCAATTGAAGGAGCTCACCTGGGGCAGAGCTCATCTGGATAGAACTCAATTGACAACTCACTTGGGAGAGAGCTCATATACAGAGCTTACCTGGGATAGAGCTCAATTGAAGGGGCTCACCTGGGATAGAGCTCAATTGACGGAGCTCACCTGGGATAGAGCTCAATTCACTGGGGCAGAATTCACTTGAGATAGAGCTCCATTGAAGGAGCTCATGTGGGTCAGAGCTCACCTGGAATAGAACTCAATTGACGGTTCACCTGGGAGAGAGTTCACATACAGAGCACACCTGAGATAGAGCTCAATTGAAGGAGCTTACCTGGGTCAGAACTCAATTGACGGAGCTCACCTGGGGCAGAGCTCACCTGAGGTAGAGCTCAATTGATGGAACTCACCTGGAATAGAGCTCAATTTATAGCTCACTTGAGATAGAGCTCAATTGAAGGAGCTCACCTGGGGCAGAGCTCACCTGAGATAGAGGTCAATTGATGGAGCTCACCTAGGATAGAGCTCCATTGACAGCTTACCTGGGATAGAGCTCCATTGACAGCTTACCTGGGGCAGAGCTCTATTGACAGAGCTCACCTGGGCTAGAACCTGACAGCTCACCTGGGAGAGAGTTCACCTGAGATAGAGCTCAATTGAAGGAGCTTACCTGGGGCAGAGCTGACCTGAGATACTCAATTGATAGCTCACCTAGGATAGAGCTCAATTGACAGAACTCACCTGGGATAGGTGAGCTCAATTGACAGCTTACCTGGACAGATCTCGCAGACAGAGCTCACCTGGAACAGAGCTCACCTGAGAGAGCTCTCAATTGATAGCTTACCTGGGCTACAGCTCAATTGACAGACTTATTATGAGACGAAGCTCAGTTGATGAAGCTTACCTGTGATAGGACTGACCTGGGACAGAGATCAATTGACAGCTTACCTGGGACAGAGCTCACCTGAGACAGAGCTCAATTGACAGGTTACCTGGGACAGCTCACCTAAGACAGAGCTCAATTGATATCTTACCTGGGCTACAACTCAGTTGACAGAGCATACCTGTGATGGGACTCACCTGGGACAGAGCTCAATTGACAGCTTACCTGGAAGTCGTGTGAGACACACCTAGGCCAGGTAAGCCTTAAGGAAATGGACCTGCCAGGCTCTTGGCGCTACGGCCTGCTGTTGGGCGCCTACCTGCTGTACCTGTTGCTGGGGGCGGCCGTTTTCTCGGCCCTGGAGGCCCCCCCAGAGAGAGCCCTCCTAGCCCACCTGCAGCAAGCGCACCTCCACCTGTTGGATCAGCACCAGGACTGCCTATCAGAGGAGCAGCTGGCCCCACTGCTGGAGAGGCTCCTGGAGGCCGGCGGGTACGGCGTCTCCGGCCTGGGCAACGTCTCCGGAGACCCCAACTGGGAGTTCACCTCTGCACTGTTCTTTGCCGCCAGCGTCCTCACCACCACAGGTAAGGAGCCAGGTTCATCCTTCAATCAGAGGCTGGATGGCCATCTGCCGGGAGGGATTTGATTGTGCCTTCCTTCCAAATGGACTGGATGACCCTTGTGGTGCCTTCTCCTATTGAAAGGGGGTGGTCTCCGCTTTGTTGGGAGGCATGTATGCATTTAGGGAGTCTCTTATGGGATAAAGGATGAGACTAGATGCCCTCAAGGGGTTCCTTTTCGTCAAGTTAATGGATCTTAATTGCCACCAGCCTAGTAGGAAAACCCACTTTTGCTTAAGCATAAGGGTTGAAGGCTGAAAGGAACAAGGCTCTCACTAATTCTATATGTGTGTGTGTGTGTGTGTGTGTGTGTGTGTGTATAGCACCGCATTAATTCTAAGCTTGCATTATAAAATCACTCATAGATATTTGTGTGTATGGGTTTATATATGTGTGCGTGAATATATATGTGTGTGTATGAATATATATGTGTGTATGTGTGTGTATATATATGCATATGTTTGTATGAATATGTGTGTGTTTGTATGTATGTATTTCTGGGTGTATGAATATGTGTGTGTATGTATGTATGTATATACATGTGTGTATATGTGTGTATGAATATATGTGTGTGTATGTATGTGTTTATGTGTATATATATACATATGTGTATGAATATATATTTGTGTGTATGAGTTTATATATGTGTGTATATGTGTGTATGAATATATGTGTGTATGTATGTGTTTATGTATATATATATGTATATGTGTATATGAATATATATTTGTGTGTACGAGTTTATATATGTGTGTATATATGTGTTTATGCATATATATGTATGTGTGTATTAATATATATTTGTGTGTATGTGTTTATATGTGTATGTATAAATATATGTGTGTATGTATGTGTTTACGTATATATATGTATATGTGTGTATGAATATATATTTGTGTGTATGAGTTTATATATGTGTGTATATATGTGTTTATGCATATATATGTATGTGTGTATGAATATATATTTGTGTGTATGTGTTTATATATGTGTGTGTATGAATATATATGTGTGTATGTATGTGTTTACATATATATATATGTATATGTGTGTATGAATATGTGTGTATGCATGTATGTGTTTATGTATATATATGTGTGTGTGTGAATATATGGGTGTGTGTATATATACGTATATGTGTGTATGAATATATGTGTATGTGTGTATATGTATATGCGTATTGTGTATGAATATATGTGTGTGTGTGTATGTATGTATGTATGTATATATTTCTGGGTGTATGAATATATATGTGTGTGTATGTATGTATGTATGTATATACATGTGTGTATATGTGTGTATGAATATATATGTATGTATGTGTTTATGTATGTATATATATATATGTATATGTGTGTATGAATATATATTTGTGTATGAGTTTATATATATATGTATATATGTGTGTGTGAATATATATGCGTGTATGTATGTGTTTATGTATATATATGTATGTGTGTATGAATATATATGTGTGTGTATGTGTTTATGTGTATATATATGTATATGTGTGTATGAATATATTTGTGTGTATGTGTGTATATATGCATATGTGTGTATGAATATATGTATGTGCGTATGTATGTATTTATGTATATATTTCTAGGTGTATGAATATATATGTGTGTATGAGTTTATATATGTGTGTATATATGTGTTTATGCATATATATGTATGTGTGTATGAATATATATTTGTGTGTATGTGTTTATATATGTGTGTGTATGAATATATATGTGTGTATGTATGTGTTTACATATATATATATATGTATATGTGTGTATGAATATATGTGTGTATGCATGTATGTGTTTATGTATATATATATGTGTGTGTGTGTGAATATATGTGTGTGTGTATATATATGTATATGTGTGTATGAATATATGTGTATGTGTGTATATGTATATGCGTATTGTGTATGAATATATGTGTGTGTGTGTATGTATGTATGTATGTATATATTTCTGGGTGTATGAATATATATGTGTGTGTATGTATGTATGTATATACATGTGTGTATATATATATATGTATGTATGTGTTTATGTATGTATATATATATGTATATGTGTGTATGAATATATATTTGTGTATGAGTTTATATATATATGTATATATGTGTGTGTGAATATATATGCGTGTATGTATGTGTTTATGTATATATATGTATGTGTGTATGAATATATATGTGTGTGTATGTGTTTGTGTGTATATATATGTATATGTGTGTATGAATATATGTGTGTATGCATGTATGTGTTTATGTATATATATATGTGTGTGTGTGTGAATATATGTGTGTGTGTATATATATGTATATGTGTGTATGAATATATGTGTATGTGTGTATATGTATATGCGTATTGTGTATGAATATATGCGTGTGTGTGTATGTATGTATGTATGTATATATTTCTGGGTGTATGAATATATATGTGTGTGTATGTATGTATGTATATACATGTGTGTATATGTGTGTATGAATATATATGTATGTATGTGTTTATGTATGTATATATATATGTATATGTGTGTATGAATATATATTTGTGTATGAGTTTATATATATATGTATATATGTGTGTGTGAATATATATGCGTGTATGTATGTGTTTATGTATATATATGTATGTGTGTATGAATATATATGTGTGTGTATGTGTTTATGTGTTATATATATGTATATGTGTGTATGAATATATTTGTGTGTATGTGTGTATATATATATGCATATGTGTGTATGAATATATGTATGTGCGTATGTATGTATTTATGTATATATTTCTAGGTGTATGAATATATATGTGTGTATATGTATGTGTGTGTGTGTGTGTGTATATATTGACTCCATAAAGAATAGAGTGTGACTATTCACTTCTCATGCTCCGACCTATCCATGCGTCTCTAGGAACATTGCCTTGTTTCTATTCATTTGTGAGGCACAAACCAGAGGAATGGGTCGCCACAGCTGAATAGTCACAACTGGCGTCAAACTGCATCAATTCTGCGGTGCAGACGCGCCTTTGCATTGCTAACACAAAGAAGCATTGTGGCAAAACAAACAAGAAACACCCTTTTTTGGGTGGCGCACGAAAGGGAGCGTCAATCCGTTGCCCTTTAGCACACTTCCAATAAATACCCGGTTCATCATCCATTATATTATTATTATTATTATTATTATTATTATTATTATTATGTTTATACTCTGCTTTTTCCCTCCACAAAGAAGAAATATCTATTATTATTATTATTATTATTATTATTATTATTATTATTAGCCCATTTTTTCTCTCTGCAAAGTGGTTATTATAATTAATATTATTGATCATAATTAATATTATTAATCATAATTAATAATATTAATTATAATAGATGGGGAGATGGAGCGGGGTATAAATAAAGTTTATTATTATTATTATTATTATTATTATTATTATTTGCCCACTTTTTCTCTATGCAAAGTGGCTATTATTGTTGTTATTAATATTATGAAGGGCAGAATATAAATACTGTAAATAAATAAATAAATCTTAAAGAAAGACACCATCAAAGCCCTCCCGACAGATGGCCATCCAGCCTCTGCTTAAAAACCCCGGAGAAAGAGAAGCCATTATTTTTTCGGGGTGAGAAAGGCGCAATATAAATACTATAAATAAATAAATAAAAATTATTATAATTATTATAATTATTATTGAATTTTAAAGGAAGACACCATCAAAGCCCTCCCGACAGATGGCCATCCAGTCTCTGCTTAAAATCCCCAGAGAAAGAGAAGCCATTAATTTTTCGGGGTGAGAAAGGCAAAATATAAATACTGTAAATAAATTATTATTATTATTATTATTATTATTATTATTATTGAATCTTAAAGGAAGGCACCATGAAAGCCCTCCCGACAGATGGCCATCCAGCCTCTGCTTAAAAACCCCGGAGAAAGAGAAGCCATTATTTTTTCGGGGTGAGAAAGGCAAAATATAAATACTGTAAATAAATAGATAAAAATAAAAATTATTATTATTATTATTATTATTATCGAATCTTAAAGGAAGACACCATCAAAGCCCTCCCGACAGATGGCCATCCAGCTTCTGCTTAAAATCCCCGGAGAAAGAGAAGCCATTCGGGGTGAGAAGGGCGCAATATAAATACTGTAAATAAATAAATAAATAATAATTATTATTATTATTATTATTATTATTGAATCTTAAAGGAAGACACCATCAAAGCCCTCCCGACGGATGGCCATCCAGCCTCTGCTTAAAAACCCCAAAGAAAGAGAAGCTATTACTATTCGGGGTGAGAAGGGTGCAATATAAATTCTGTAAATAAATAACTAAAAATTATTATTATTATTATTATTATTATTGAATCTTAAAGGAAGACACCATCGAAGCCCTCCTGACAGATGGCCATCCAGCCTCTGCTTAAAATCCCCGGAGAAAGAGAAGCCATTCGGGGTGAGCAGGGCGGAATATAAATACTGTAAATAAATAAATAAAATTATTATTATTATTATTATTATTATTATTATTATTATTATTATTGAATCTTAAAGGAAGACACCATTAAAGCCCTCCCGACAGATGGCCATCCAGCCTCTGCTTAAAAACCCCGGAGTAAGAGAAGCCATTCGGGGTGAGAAGGGCGGAAAATAAATACTGTAAATAAATAAATAAAAATAAATACTATTATTATGATTATTGAATCTTAAAGGAAGACTTAATTAAAGCCCTCCCGACAGATGGCCATCCAGCCTCTGCTTAAAATCCCCAGAGAAAGAGAAGCCATTATTTTTTCGAGCTGAAAATGTTAGGAATTGTGGGAGTTGAAGTCCAAAACACCTGGAGGGGCGAAGTTGGCCTATGCCTGCTTTCGCCCCATTAACCATCTGGGCCGGGTGCTTTACCAGTTTTGCATTGTTTAACAGCTTCTCAGAATTCTTATTTACAATATAAATACTGTAAATAAAAAAATAAAAAATAATAAATAATAAAATAATAATAAAAATTATTATTATTATTGAATCTTAAAGGAAGACACCATTAAAGCCCTCCCAACAGATGGCCATCCAGCCTCTGCTTAAAAACCCCAGAGAAAGAGAAGCCATTAGTTTTTCGGGGTGAGAAGGGTGCACTATAAATACTGTAAATAAATAAATAAATAAAAATAAAAGTTATTATTATTATTATTATTATTATTATTATTGAATCTTAAAGGAAGACACCATTAAAGCCCTCCCGACAGATGACCATCCAGCCTCTGCTTAAAAACCCCAGAGAAAGAGAAGCTATTATTTTTTCGGGGTGAGAAGGGCAGAATATAAATACTGTAAATAATAATAATAATAATAATAATAATAATAATAATAATAATAATAATAGAATCTTAAAGGAAGACACCATTAAAGCCCTCCCGACAGATGGCCATTAGAAAGAGAAGCCATTATTTTTTCGGGGTGAGAAGGGTGCAATATAAATACTGTAAATAAATACCAAAATAAAAATAAAAATTATTATTGAATCTTAAAGGAAGACACCCTTAAAGCCCTCCCAACAGATGGCCATCCAGCCTCTGCTTAAAATCCCCGGAGAAAGAGAAGCCGTTATTATTCGGGGTGAGAAGGGCTCAAGATAAATACTGGAAATAAATAAATAAATAAATCTTAAAGGAAGACACAATCAAAGCCCTCCCAACAGATGGCCATCCAGCCAACGTTATTCCTTTTGTCACACAGGTTACGGCCACACAGTGCCCCTCTCCGCGTGGGGCAAGATATTCTGCATCCTCTACTCCTTGGTGGGCATCCCCTTGACCCTCCTCTTCCTGGCCCTTCTGCTCCATCATTTGCTGCCCGTCGTGAGTGACCGGCCCGTGCAATACATCCACCGCCGATGGGGTTTACCCTTGGCCCACGTGGCATTGGCCCACGCCATGGCCCTGGGGCTGCTGACCGTGGGGCTCTTCGTCCTCGTCCCGGCCATCTGCTTCTGGGCGTTAGAGGGTGGATGGACCTTCTTGGAGTCGGTGTATTTCTGCTTCATCTCGCTCAGCACCATCGGCTTAGGGGACTACATGCCGCAAGGGAGCGCTCAATGGCCGTTGCATGAACTCTATGAGCTCAGCATCACCGGTGAGTCATTTTGGGCATAGTCGGCAGGATTTCTGACAGTCAAGACCAGGCATATGCAATGCAAAACTGGTAAAGCACCTGGCCCAGATGGTTAATGGGGACGAAAGCAGGCATAGGCCAACTTTGGCCCTCCAGGAGTTTGGACTTCAACTCCCACAATTCCTAACAGCCGGTAGGCTGTTAGGAATTGTGGGAGTTGAAGTCCAAACACCTGGGGGGCCAAAGTTGGCCCATGCCGGCTTTCACCCCATTAACCATCCGGGCCGGGTGCTTTACCAGTTTTGCATTGCTTAATAGCTTCTCAGAGTTCTTATTTAGCTGCTTTTGCTCCCTTTAGCTTATCAGTTTTATACTTATTTATTTATGCAATGCTTTATTTAGTGCCAAAAGCACTGCATAAATAAATATGTATAAAGCTGATTAAAGAAAGGAGCACAAGCAGCTCCCTAATATAGTGTTAATATTTGTTTATCTATTTATTTACGACATTTATATGCCGCCCTTCTCACCCCGAAGAGGACTCAGAGCAGCTTACAAGATATATATACATACAATATATTAAATTATTAGCATAGTACAATATTAGTATTATATATTACTATATTGGACTACACCATTATATTGTAATATTATTACTAGTATTACGTGTGATATAATATAATATAGTAATATGTAATAGTAATACTATAATAATACTATAATACTATATTATAATAATATAGTCATAATAATAATAATATAGTGTTAATAATACTAATATGGTGTTAATAATAATAATAACATGTAATATTACTATATTGTACTATACCATTATATTGTAGTATTATTAGCAATATTACATGTAATATAATATAATATAGTAATATGTAATAGTAATACTGTAATAATATAGTCATAATAATAATAATAATATAGTGCTAATAATACTAATATGGTGTTAATAATAATAATAATATGTAATATATAATATAGTAGTCTTACTATATTGTACTATACCATTATATTGTAATATTATTAGTAATATTACATGTGATATATAATATAATATATAATATAATATAGTCATAATAATAGTAATACTATAATAATAGTCATCATAATAATATAGTGTTAATAATACTAGTATGGTGTTAATAATAATAATAATAATAATATGTAATATATAATATAGTAATACTATATTGTAGTATACCATTATATTGTAATATTATTAGTAATATTACATGTAATATATAATATAATATATATTATGATATAATATAATATAGTAATAATAATAGTAATACTATAATAATATAGTCATAATAATAATAATAATAATATAGTGTTAATAATGCTAATATGGTAATAATAATATGTAATATATAATATAGTAATAATAATAGTAATACTATAATATAGTCATAATAATATAGTGTTAATAATACTTATAAGGTGTTAATAATAATAACACGTAATATATAATATAATATATAATATAGTAATAATAATAGTAATACTATAATAATATAGTCATCATAATAATATAGTGTTAATAATACTAATATGGTATTATTATTATTATTATTATTATTAATAATATGTCATACTCTGTTTTCACTGTCAGGATAATTATTTAATATATATACATGCAGTCCCCGAGTTACAAATATCCGACTTACAAAAGATTCCTAGTTAAGAACGGGGTTGAGACAACAGGATGTGAGAGGAATACTATATATTGTTATGATTATATATTATTGGTATTATAATATTATTATTATTTTATATGTGTCCAGGCTGTCTCTGTGTCGGATTCACAGACACCTTGAAGGGCCAGACTCAAAGTTAGTTTCTGAACAGAGTTTATTGCAACACAGAGACACTTAAACGCAGTCCAAACTCAAAAGTTAACCAGACCTGGTTCAAAAAAAGTAAACAGGAATATAATCCGGATTAACCGGATAAAAGGACCGAATCAAACACAGTGCTTCAAAGCCAAACAAAGAGTCACAGCGTACAACAGGGTAACAAAGAGGTGAAGCCGCAGGGAGAAAAGCGTAGTCAGCCGAAGTCCAGGGTCGTAGAAGGAGAAATCCGTAGTAGCGTAATTCCAATGTCCACAGAAGCGGCGTCTCAGTCAAGCCGGTCCAGGAAGAGAGAAATCCACACTCACGAGAATCCAATCCGAGTCAAAAGTACACACGATCAGGAACAGTAACCTGCAGATCCCAAACCAATGCCGAACACGAAACAGGCAGTGACAAGTCCAGACAGTATCCAATGCACGAACGTTCGCCAACACCTTGCCTTCTGCAAGGAACCCTCGTCCCTGAACCCACTTTTATCTACACATCATCATCAGATGTACAGACCACCGCCCCATCATTATCCCTCGCAGCTTCTTCCAACTCTTCATGTGAATCCCTACGCCCATCCCTCCAAGTCCTCCATCTCCTGTCAAGACTTAGATCCCCCCAAGACTCAATTGTATTTCCCGATTGCCAGTCTTCAACCCCAGAGAACCCCATAAATGTATCACTAGATGTTGGCTCTGGACAAATAGCTTGCACTTCCTTCACCTTCGTCCAATCTATGTTGTCACCTCTGTTTTCTCCACTCCCTGACCCATCATCCTCAGAGAATCCCTCAAATGAATCCTCGTCTGTAGGTGCTGTAAGTATATCCCGGATCCTCTTTCTTTGCTGCTCCTCATCCGATTCCGGCTCCCGAGTAACCCTTCTTCCCCTTCTGGCATCCATACTACTGTTTGCAACGTTACTCACAGGCTCTACTACAACACCCTGAGTTACTAACACCTGACTTACATATGACTCATAGTTAAGAACAGAGATGTGAAAACAAGAGTATTTATTATTATTATTATTATTATACAGGCGTTCCCCAAGTTACTAACATCCGACTTACATACGACTCATAGTTAAGAATGGGGCTCAAATGAAACTTTATCCCAAATCCTTGCCAATTTTTTCAAAATTCTATTCCAGTTTACCTACTGGTAGGCTTGCTGGCCGTGCTGGTGGCTCTGGAGACGGCGCACCGGCTGCAGGAAGTCCGGGCATTTGTCCGGTTCTTCGCAACCGCCTCCGGTTCCTGTATCCCGGAAGACGACGACCGCCTCGAAATCATGAGCCGGGACCAACTGGCCTTGAGTACTGTGTCTGGAAGCACGTGACTCGAATTTCCGTCAAATCCTTCCCTATCACGGTCTTTTATGGGGCTGAGAGTGTGTCACCTATTGGGTTTCATGGCCAAGTGGAGATCCGAATTCGGGTATCCAGAGTCATAACCCAACTTTCAGGTTCCTATATCTTGCTAACTTCAATGCAGATCATATCCTCGTCTTTTTGGCAATACGTCGATGGTTATTTGTTTTTCTGAGCAAGCGTTCTTAATAAATGATCCCTGTGTTTGCTTTTGGGGAGTGTTGTGTTGACATTTATCAAGTCAATGGGGAACATTGCAAAGCTTATATCTCCATGATCATTATGGTTATCAGGCTGAAACTTGGCACACTGGTAGGCAACATGGACACCTTCAAGCCCGCCAAGTTTCATAATGTTTTGATCATCCACTGATTTTTAGGAATTTTTTAAAGATTCAGAGGGGTCCCGTTTCGTTCCGTAATTCCAACCTACGATGCTTATGATTGGTTCCATTAGCAGCAATAGAGAAAATTTTGAGGCTCATTTCTCCATCATTTTTAAGGCTACCAGGATGAAACTTGGCACACTTGTAGGCAACATTGACACCTTCAAGCCTGCCAAGTTTCAGACCATTTCAATCATCCACTGATTTTTAGGATTTTTTTAAAGATTCAGAGGGGTCCCGTTTTGTTCCGTAATTCCAACCTATGAAGTTTCATAATAGCTTCGTTAAGCAATGGGGAAAAGTTGGAGGCTTGTTTCTCTGTCATTTTTATGGCAATCAGGATGAAAATTGGCACACTTGTAGGCACTGACGACTTTAAGTCTGCCAAGTTTCATAATGTTTTGGTCATCCACTGATCTTTGGGAATTTTTAAAATATTCAGAGGGGTCCCGTTTCGTTCCATAATTCCAACCTATGAAGCTTATGATTGGTTCCATTAGCAGCAATAGAGAAAGTTTTGAGGCTCATTTCTCTATTATTTTTAAGACTATTATGATGAAACTTGGCACACTTGTAGGCAACATTGATGCCTTCAAGCCTGCCAAGTTTCAGACGGTTTCAATCATCCACTGATTTTTAGGATTTTTTTAAAGATTCAGAGGGTGGTGGTTGGTGGCAAATGTGGTGACAAACTTCCATCCCGACCGCCCAACTTTCCCAACCAAGTTCCATGTTGATTCTCCACACACCAGTTGTGTCTTATGAGATATTTATTTCAAACTCTGTTACAAATTTAGTGCAAATCGCCAGGAAAATAAGGGGGAGGGGGGGATTTGGGGTATTGGAGGAAAAGGTGAAAATTTAGGAAAATTTAGGAATACAATATTTAGGAATACAATATTATAGGATTCAAGGCACTTTGAACCAGGAGCAGACACAAAAATGGGGCAGAAAAAAAATATCGGGGAAATAAACAGCATTTTGGACTAAGGAAGGGGAAGGGTGGCACCCATTTCCACAAACTCAAAAAGTTTTCCAACCATAGCAACAAAAGCATGCATGCACACAAACACACACAATAAATACATTCCTATAATTTGGAGAGAAGGGGGAAAAAGGGGGATTGAGGTTAAGCATAATCCAAGGGCACTGCCCTTTAAAATACCATCCAAAGGGGTAATACGTGAACAGAGGCAGCCCTAGGTAATTTTCAACGGTAAGCAAACAGTATTTTGGCGCCCGCCCCCCCCCAAACCAATCATTGATATATATTTTCTGTTTGTCGTGGGAGTTCTGTGTGCCATATTTGGTTCAATTCCATCATTGGTGGAGTTCAGAATGCTCTTTGATTGTAGGTGAACTATACATCCCAGTAACTACACTTGCCGCACTTGCTCCCTTGCCTGGCCCGCTTTGGGTCTGGAGGCGTGCCTGAAGACCCCGGCGTGTGCACCAAAAGTCACCTCTTCTCCTGACTTTCTCCTCAGCCATTGGGACCAAGAGAGAGAGAGAGAGAGAGAGGTGGAGATGCCCACCTTTCCTGAAGGTAGGAGCAAAAACAAAGGAGGGAGCGGAGGTGGGAGATACCTCCAGCCGGAGGGGCTCTCTCTCTCTCTCTCTGGTCCCAATGGCTGAAGAGAAAGTCAGGAGAAGAGGAGACTTTTGGTGCGCACGCTGGGGTCTTCAGACACTCCTCCGGACCCGAAGTGGGCCAGGCATGGCGGCTCCGCCCCTTGGCCGACCCGCGGATTGGGGAGAGGAGAGGAGGTGGGTGGAGCGCCGGGGATCGGGAAAGGGAGCCGGTCATGGGGAAGGGATCGAACGCGGAGAACGATTGAGCGCCGGCTCTGCTCGCGCACCCGGTGGCCGGGTGGAGCAGGAACGAGAGGGGCTAGGCAAGGCTCAAGGGCCCGGCCCCTTTGGGAAGAGGATTGCCCGGCAGCGAGGCAAGAAAGCCGAGGCTCCCCCCGGACTGCTACGGCTGTTGTGAGCTGAGGGGGCGCTCCTCAAGTGGCGGTCGAGGGCATTTACAGAGGCGCCTCTGCACCCCTGGCAAAAAAAGTGTTCTGCGACCGCTTACTTCGCGTAATGGACGAGCCGCCCCTGTGAAAGAGAAAAGCTCTGGGTACATACACAAGTTGCAAGGGCGGCTCAACCCATGCGCAAAGTAAGCCTTTGCAGTATAGTTCATTTTGTCCAGGGGTGCTCTTGAGGCATTTTTGGGGGAAAATAAACCTTGACATATGCAAGTTGTAGTTACTGGGATGTATAGTTCACTTACAATCAAAGAGCACTCTGAACTCCACCAATGATGGAATTGAACCAAATATGGCACACAGAACTCCACGACGAACAGAAAATATATATCAATGATTGGTTGGGGGGGGGGGGCAAAATACTGTTTGCTTACCATTAAAAATTACCTCTGTACACAAGGAAGAGAAATAAGCTGTGAAAGATAACGAAGCAGCTTGTCAAGATCCATTCCAATGGAGGTCGACGAAGCATCCTAGGGAGAGGTCCGCAATGGCGGACTCTGTTTGTGTTTCTTTCTTTGCTGGTTTGAATGAATTCCTGTAGGCTATGCATTTTGCAATTTGGTAGCTTCCTAAAGGGTGCAATCATAGGGCCAGCAACCTGTCAATCATCGTTGCAGCCTTTAGATCCGCCCCTTTCCCCAGGTTTTGGAGGGAAAAGGAAGACTTTAGGCAGTTTACAGTTGGAAGTCTTTCAGACCAGGACGTGTGGGGTTTCTCTTCCTCACCCGGAAAAGGCTTTAGTTCTCACAGCAAACTGGGGAAATATAGTTACAGCGAGTCTTTGCTGGAAAAAAGGGAAATACAGCCAGCTCTGCTGGAAAGCAAAATATTTCCTTCAACTTGGAAAATCTACAGAGACTTTGCCTGGTAAGGTCTACTCGGGTCACCCATTACGCATTTAGTGTGGGGAAATCTGAAAACAGAACTTTGTGTGGGGAAATCTGAAGGGCCTCTCAGCCGAGGCACCCCGGCGTCCTGTTGGGCATTCAGAGGGCATGTCGTGTAAACGATCATTATCACAGGCCCAAGCAGTTGCCTGTCCCTTGTTAGCAGATTTTATCCCTAATAAAACTTTGTTGGACTTATCAAGAGACTCGACAGAACTTTGTGTTGGGGAAATCTGAAGGGCCTCTCAGCCGAGGCACCCCGGCGTCCCGCTGGGCATTCAGAGGGCATATCCTGTAAATGGCCATTATCACAGGCCCAAGCAGTTGCCTCTCCCTTGTTGGCAGATTTTATCCCTAATAAAACTTTGTTGGACTTATCAAGAGACTCGACAGAACTTTGTGTTGGGGAAATCTGAAGGACCTCTCAGCCGAGGCACCCTGGCGTCCCGTTTGGGCATTCAGAGGGCACGTCCTGTAAACGGTCATTATCACAGGCCCAAGCAGTTGCCTGTCCCTTGTTGGCAGATTTTATCCCTAATAAAACTTTGTTGGACTTATCAAGAGACTCGACAGAACTTTGTGTTGGGGAAATCTGAAGGGCCTCTCAGCCGAGGCACCCCGGCGTCCCGTATGTCCTGTAAATGGTCATTATCACAGGCCCAAGCAGTTGCATGTCCCTTGTTGGCAGACTGAAGAAGCTACCAAATTTCCAAAGTTATAGAGCAGTGGTTCTCAACCTTTCTATCACCGGGACCCCTAAATATGGTTCCACATGTTGTGGTGACCCCCAACCATAAAATTATTTTCGTTGCTCCTTTATAACTGTAATTTTGATACTGTTACAAATTGTAAATATCTGATATGAAGAATGTGTTTTAATTCAACATAATTAAAGCATCATGATCAATCAGAAAAAAAATATGGATTTGCAGTACCTTCAACCGATTCAGCGCTGACTTCCACAGACCACTGAGACCTCAACACAGAACTCCCGGATGGCAAGAATGTGTGGAAGGCGAGGCGGGCTTTGTGCGAGGCAAGGCTTCGTGTGGAGGATCCCTCGCCTGCCCCGTGCCCTCGTCAGATGGCGAGAGAGCGAGGCAAGCGAGGCGGGCTTTGGGTGAGACCAGGCCTTGCATGAAGGAGCCCTCACCTGGCCCGCGCCTTTGGGGCGGGGCCAACGGAGGCGGCCTCGCAACCCCTCTGAAATGGCCAGACAACCCCCCTGGGGGTTGCGACCCCCAGGTTGAGAACTGCTGTTATAGAGTGTTTAGTCCACGTTTGAAGATTTTATCCCTAATAAAACTTTGTTGGACTTCTCAAGAGACTCGACAGCACTTTGTGCAGGGAAATCTGAAGGGCCTCTCAGCCGAGGCACCCTGGCGTCCCGTTAGGCATTCAGAGGGCATTTCCTGTAAACAGTCATGATCACAGGCCTATTATCACCTTTAGATAGAAATGGCGCAGCATTTCTAGGCAAAGAAAAAAGAGGACGGAAAAATCCATTTCGCTCTCTCCTATGTGACTCAGTCCGAGTATCTGCCTATGTTGTGTGGGACTATTTGAATACTCTGCATTAGGAAGAACTTCCTAACTGTAAGGAGAGATGTTCAGCAGGGGAACTCTCTGCCCCGGAGTGTGGTAGAGGCTCCTTCTTTGGAGGCTTTTAAATAGAAGCTGGATGGCCATCTGTCGGGAGTGCTTTGAATGCGATTTTCCTACTTCTTGGCAGAATGGGAGAATGGGGTTGGACTGGACGGCTCAAAAGATCTCTTCCAACTCTACATGGAAGAAATGGCACAGCATTTCTAGCCAAAGACAAAGAGGACGGAAGAATCCATTTCACTCTCTCCTACGTGACTCAGTCCGAGTATCTTCCTATGTTGTGTGGGACTATTTGAATACTCTGCATTAGGAGGAACTTCCTAACTGTGAGAGCTGTTCAGCGGAGGTCAATGAAGCATCATACGGAGAGGTTAAATGAGGACGGCTTCGGCCAAAATAATAATAATAATAATAATAATAATAATAATAATAATAATAATAATATCTATTATTAATTCCTCATTAATTCCTCAGCCTTTCCACTTATCCCTCTTCTACATCAGTTGCTGCAAACTCAATGAATTCCTACCCAATTGATACAGGAACGAAGAGAAGGCAATGAGATGCTTCTCTTCCCAATCAGCTCAGGCAAAAGGAAACCGCCGTAGTCTTCCTGTTGTGTTTCTCTCCGATCCTATTCACCCTCAGTATAAGGTATTTGAGTTGAGCCTTGGATAGTGCAGACCCAGGGGCGGCTCAACCCATACGCAAAGTAAGCATTCGCGGTAGTTCACCTACAATCAAAGAGCACACTGAACTCCACCAATGAGGGAATTGAACCAAATATGGATAGTGCAGACACAGAAGCGGCTCAACCCATACGCAAAGTAAGCATTCGCGGTAGAGTTGACGTTGCCCAGAGGCGCTCTTGGGGGAAAATAGACCTTGACATATGCGAGTTGTAGTTACTGGGTTGTATAGTTCACCTACAATCAAAGAGCATGCTGAACTCCACCAATGAGGGAATTGAACTAAATATGGATAGGGGTGGGTTGCTGTAGAGTTGACGTTGCCCAGGGGCGCTCTTGGGGGAAAATGGACTTTGACATATGCGAGTTGTAGTTACTGGGTTGTATAGTTCACCTACAATCAAAGAGCACTCTGAACTCCACCAATGAGAGAATTGAACTAAATATGGATAGGGGCGGCTCAACCCATACGCAAAGTAAGCATTCGCGGTAGAGCTGACGTTGCCCAGGGGCGCTCTTGGGGGAAAATAGACCTTGACATATGTGAGTTGTAGTTACTGGGTTGTATAGTTCACCTACAATCAAAGAGCATGCTGAACTCCACCAATGAGGGAATTGAACTAAATATGGATAGTGCAGACCCAGGGGCGGCTCAACCCATACGCAAAGTAAGTATTCGCGGTAGAGTTGACGTTGCCCAGGGGCGCTCTTGAGGCGCTCTTGGGCGAAAATACACCTTGACATATGTGAGTTGTAGTTACTGGGATGTATAGTTCACCTACAATCAAAGAGCATTCTGAACTCCACTAATGATGGAATTGAACCAAATATGGTACACAGAACTCCCACGACCAACAGAAAATACTGGAAGGGTTTGGTGGACATTGACCTTGAGTTTTGGAGTTGTAGTTCACCTACATCCCGAGATCACTGTGGACTCAAACAATGATGGATCTGGACCAAACTTGGCACTGATACTCAACATGTCCAAATGTGAACACTGGTGGAGTTTGGGGAAAATAGACCTTGACATTTGGGAATTGTAGTTATTCTAAAGTTGGAATTTATAGTTCACCTACAATCAAAGAGCATACCAATGATTGAATTGGGCCAAACTTCTCACACAGAACCTCCATGACCAACAGAAAATACTGTGTTTTCTGATGGTCTTTGGCGAACCCTCTGACACCCCCTTGCGACCCCCTCAGGGGTCCTGACCCCCAGGTTGAGAACCACTGATCTATCGGGAGTGCTTTGAATGCGATTTTCCTACTTCTTGGCAGAATGGAAGAATGGGGTTGGACTGGACGACCCACAAGGTCTCTTCCAACTCTATATGGAAGAACTTCCTAACTGTGAGAGCTGTTCAGCAGGGGAACTCTCTGCCCCGGAGTGTGGTAAAGACTCCTTCTTTGGAGGCTTTTAAGTATAAGCTGGATGGCCATCTATCGGGAGTGCTTTGAATGCGATTTTCCTATTTCTTGGCAAAATGGGAGAATGGGGTTGGATCGGACGGCCCACAAGGTCTCTCCCAACTCTATATGGAAGAACTTCCTAACTGTGAGAGCTGTTCAGCAGGGGAACTCTCTGCCCAGGAGTGTGGTGGAGGCTCCTTCTTTGGAAGCTTTTAAACAGAGGCTGGATGGCCATCTGTCAGGGGTGATTTGAATGCAATATTCCTGCTTCTTGGCAGAATGGGGTTGGACTGGATGGCCCACAAGGTCTCTCCCAACTCTATATGGAAGAACTTCCTAACTGTGAGAGCTGTTCAGCAGGGGAACTCTCCTGTCAAAATCCGGATTTTTCCCGTGCTGACAGCCAGGAACAATGAGGGAATTTTAGCTGTGGTTTCAGTGGATAAAAGTTGAATCAGTAACAGATTAGGACCAAGTGTGGCTTTCCGAAGGCTTCCTTTGTCCTATTGAGATATGATCATAAATGCCAAGTGACCGCTTCCTCTGGGGGGCCAACTCGGAGGCACAGCATTTCTAGCCAAAGAAAAAGAGAATGAAATAATCCATTTCGCTCTCTCCTGTGTGACTCAGTCCGAGTATCTGCCTATGTTTTATGGGACTATTTGATTACTCTACATTAGGAAGAACTTCCTAACTGTGAGAGCCGTTTGGCAGGGGAACTCCCTGCCCCAGAGTGTGGTAGAGGCTCCTTCTTTGGAGGCTTTTAAGTATAAGATGGATGGCCATCTGTCAGGAGTGCTTTGAATGCGATTTTCCTGCTTCTTGGCAGAATGGGAGAATGGGGTCGGACTGGACGGCTCACAAGGTCTCGTCCAACTCTATGATTCTATGATTCTACTCTGATTTGGAAACGATAAACCACGTCTCGTACCAGCATCCCGCAACAGAGTTGTGTGAGTTGCTGAAGAGCCTCCGAAGATAGCAAGAAGTTGCGCCGAGAGCGGAGATGTGCGAGGGAACGGGAGAAAAGGGAGAAGCGCCGGCATCGGATGCCGTCCATCCGTCGAATCGCAATGGAGGACCGAATCGATTCCTCAGCTGACCCGGCATTTGTCCTTCCGGCTGAACTTGCGGCGCCTTTGCTGCAATCCCCGCTCCAGCCTGAGATCCTCCTCGAGGGCTCTGGAGATTGCGCAAAGAGGCAAAGAAAGCGGGGGAAAGGGGAAGGAAAGAAAGAAAAGAGGAAGAAAAGGGAGAGGTGTTAGCATTCGGAGTACCATTACAATGTTCCCTGTCTTATCTATCTAAAAGTCAAAGTATGTTTGTTGGTTTGTACCACAAAGGCTCCCACATGGCTCGATCAATCTGGACCAAACATGGCTCACGATATCTGTCGTGATCCAACTTAAAATATGGGCTGGGTTTCAACTTTAAAATCTACCCTGTTTGGGACTAGGGCCCTGAAAATGAATAAATGGACATGTGTGTCTGCAGTGCTCAGATGCATCCACAAGAGGGAACTCGATAGCTAGATAGGCTAACTCAGAGATGACATATGGAAGGAGCCAAAGCATATCTATCTAAAAATCAAAGTATGTTTGTTGGTTTGTACCACAAAGGCTCCCACATGGCTTGATCAATCTGGACCAAACATGGCTCAAGATGTCCGTCACGATCCAACTTAAAATATGGGATGGGTTTCCACTTTAAATTCTACCCTGTTTGGGACTAGGGCACTGAAAATGAATAAATGGACATGTATGTCTGCAGTGCTCAGATGCATCCACAAGAGGGCACTCGATAGCTAGATAGACTAACTTAGAGATGACAAATGGAAGAAGGAGCCAAAGCATATCTAGTATCTATCTATCTAAAGTCAAAGTATGTATGGGTTGTTGTAGGTTTTTTCGGGCTGTATGGACATGGTCTAGAGGCATTCTCTCCTGACATTTTGCCTCAGGAGAGTATGCCTCTAGACCATGGCCATACAGCCCAAAAAAACCTACAACAACCTAGTGATTCCGGCCACAAAAGCCTTCGACAATACATCAAAGTATGTATGTCGGTTTGTACCACAAAGGCTCCCACATGGCTTGATCCATCTGGATCAAACATGGCCCATGATATCCATCATGATCCAACTTGAAATATGGGCTGGGTTTCAACTTAAAGATCTACCCCATTTGGGACTAGGGCCCTGAAAATGAATAAATGGATCTGTATGTCTGCAGTGCTCAGATGCAACCACAAGAGGGCACTCGATAGCTAGATAGGCTAACTCAGAGATGACAAATGAAAGAAGGAGCCAAAGCATATCTATCTAAAAATCGAAGTATGTTTGTTGGTTTGTACCACAAAGGCTCCCACATGGCTCGATCAATCTGGACCGAACATGGCTCACGATGTCCGTCATGATCCAATTTAAAATATGGGCTGGGTTTCAACTTAAAAATCTACCCCATTTGGGACTAGGGCACTGAAAATGAATAAATGGACATGTGTGTCTGCAGTGCTCAGATGCATCCACAAGAGAGCACTAGATAGCTAGATAGGGTAACTCAGAGGGAGAGATGACAAATGGAAGAACGAGCCAAAGCATATCTATCTATCTAAAAGTCAAAGTATGTGTGTTAGTTTGTACCACAAAGGCTCCCACATGGCTCGATCAATCTGGACCAAACATGGCTCGAGCTGTCCGTCATGATCCAACTTGAAATATGGGCTGGGTTTCAACTTAAAGATCTACCCCATTTGGGACTAGGGTCCCGAAAACGAATAAATGAATCTGTATGTCTGCAGTGCTCAGATGCATCCACAAGAGGGCACTCGATAGCTAGATAGGCACCTGCCTTGACCCGCCTTGGCGAAGAAGAGGAAAATACTCACATCCTTTCCTTGATGTCCAGGTCCCGCACCAGTTCGTCCCTCTGGTTGACCAGTGAAACCAGTTCTTCCAAAAGGAGCTGCTCACGCTGCTGCTGGGCTTCTGTCTTGAGATAGTCTGCACAGTGGGAGGAAGACAAGGGGGTGGTGTAAGCAGAGGCTTCCTGGCCATCTGTTGGGAGTGATTAGGTTGTGTCTTTCTGCCCAGCACGATGGGGTCAGTCTGGATGGCCTTTGGGGGTCCCTATAATTCTAGAATTCACAATATAATAATGTAATATAATATAATAATAATATAATATAATTATAATATAATATAAAATAATATAATAATTGTGAATTCTATATAATATAATATAATAATAATAATATAGTGAATTCTATATAATATAATATAATAGTAATAATAATAATAATATTGTGAATTCTAGAATTAACTAGTAGAAGCGGGTAAGAAATAAAATAAAATAATAATAATAATAATTATTATTATTATATGGTGAATTCTAGAATTAATGAGTAGAGGCAGGTAAGAAATAAAATTATTATTATTATATTGTGAATTCTAGAATTAACGAGTAGAGGCGGGTAAGAAATAATAATAATAATAATAATAATAATAATAATAATAATATTGTGAATTCTAGAATTAACGAGTAGAGGCGGGTAAGAAATAAAATAATAATAATAATAATAATAATAATAATTATTATTATTATTATTATATGGTGAATTCTAGAATTAATGAGTAGAGACGGGTAAGAAATAAAATTATTATTATTATTATTATTATTATTATTATTATTATTATTGTGAATTCTAGAATTAATGAGCAGAGACGGGTAAGAAATAAAATAATAATAATAATAATAATAATAATAATACATATTATTATGATATTGTGATTTCTAGAATTAACGAGTAGAGGCGGGTAAGAAATAAAATAATAATAATAATAATAATAATAATAATAATAATAATGTGAATTCTAGAATTAATGAATAGAGACGGGTAAGAAATAAAATAATAATAATAATAATAATAATAATAATAATAATGATTATTATTATATTGTGAATTCTAGAATTAACGAGTAGAGGCGGGTAAGAAATACAATAATAATAATAATAATAATAATAATAATAATGATGATGATTATTATTATTATATTGTGAATTCTAGAATTAACGAGTAGAGGCGGGTAAGAAATAATAATAATAATAATAATAATAATAATAATAATATTGTGAATTCTAGAATTAACGAGTAGAGGCGGGTAAGAAATAAAATAATAATAATAATAATAATAATAATAATTATTATTATTATTATATTGTGAATTCTAGAATTAACGAGTAGAGGTGGGTAAGAAATAAAATAATAATAATAATAATAATAATAATAATTATTATTATTATTATTATATTGTGAATTCTAGAATTAACGAGTAGAGGCGGGTAAAAAATACAATAATAATAATAATAATAATAATAATGATGATGATGATGATGATGATTATATTGTGAATTCTAGAATTAACAAGTAGAGGCGGGTAAGAAATAAAATAATAATAATATTATTATTTTATTTCTTACCCGTCTCTACTCGTTAATATACTTATTAAAATACACAAAACGAAGACTAAACACAAGACAAGCATTGAAAATTCATGCTTAAAGACTGGCTGAGCAGGCCTGCCAGAAAAGATTGGTCTTGACGTGGTTGTTATGTCTCTTTCCTGCTCCCCAGATTCAAGGCCTCACCATCAATGGCCATCATGGACCGCAACTCCCGGCTGAGAAGCTCAAACCGCCTCTCCAGGTCTTGCTCTTCTGTCCTGAAGAAAGGAAGAAACGGACAGTATTTTAATTTTTTTATAGAAATTTTAATTATTTTAATTTTTTATAGAATTTTTTTTTATAGAAATTACTTTTGAATAGGTTTCTTTTATATTTTTATATATTTTATATATTTTAAACATATTTTAATATTTATATTTGTGAGTGTATAATTTTTAATATATTTTTAAAACATATTTTAATATTTATATATTTGTGTGTGTGTGTGTGTGTGTGTGTATATATATATGTATATATAT